CTGAAGTTTCCCTTATTCATCTTCCAACTCAACCACCACCACCACCTCTGCAGAAATCACTGTTAGCCCTGGCCAGGTGATTCAGTTAGTTGGAGTGTCATCCTGTGCACCAAAAGTTGCAGCTTCATTTCCCAGTCAGGGAACATACCTAGGTTGTGGGTTCAATCCCCAGTTGGGGCATATAGGAGCCACTAATCAATGTTTCTCTCTCACATTTCTATCTACCTATCATCTATCTATCATCTATCATCTCTTCTCTCTCTCTCTAAAATCAATAAGCATATCCTTGGGTGAGGATTTAAAGAAAAAAAGAAATTACTGTCCAGATTGTGTCACCATCAATTACTTTTGTCTGTGACTGAATGGGTTATTTTCCAAAGAGAAATCAACAATTATGTGATTACTAGAGGCCCAGTGTATGAATTCGTGCACAGGTGGGGTCCCTCAGCCTGGCCAGCAATGGGGGATTGGCAGGAGCTCACTAACCACCAGGGGGCAGCTCCTGCATTCAGCGTCTGCCCCCTGGTGGTCAGTGCATGTCATAGCGACCAGTTGGTTGACCAGTCATAATAGTCACTTAGGCTTTTATATATATAGATGATCTCATATAAGGAAGGGCTCGATAATAGTCATCTGTTTTATCCCTGGCTTCTCTGCTGACCTGCACTGAAACTCTCCAATATAGAAACTATATTTCTATGGGTGGTTCTTTGACCACCTGCTTCAGAGTTACATACAGGTGTTGGCTAAAATTATCATTCTTGAGACCACTCCACCTGCTCTATCAGATTCTCAGGGAAATGGAACAGATCATCTGAACTGGGTTGGAGAAAATGAATATAACTAACTACTCACAGAGAAAATCCATGATGTCAATAAGATTATAAAACAGACACATGGCTGTAAGCTGTGGCTTTGAAGTGAGTAAGAAATATTTCTGTCCCTTTACAGAAGCACACTGGATACATTTAAAGGTAGCTAGTAAATTGCTGCAAAAGTTAAATATTGATTTTCAAAAAACAATCCCTGTAAAACAGACCAGTGCTTTCTGGAGGGTGGGTGGGAATGAATAGGCAAAGCACAGAGATTTTTAGGGCAGTGAAGCTACTCTGTATGATCCTATCATGTTGGATACATGTCATGCATTGTCCAAACCCATAGAAGGTGCAACTCAAGAATAAACCCTAATGTCAACTGTGGACCTGCGTGATAATGATGTGTCAATGCAGGTTTATTGATTATAACACATGTGCTTATGTTGGGGATGTTAAAAATGGTGGTAAATCTCTGTAATTTCCACTCAGTTTTGCTGTGAACCTAAAATTGCTCTTTAAAAAATCATCCTTAAAAAAAAAAATCCTCTTAAAAAAAAATCCTTAGGACTGCATAACTAGATAAAACACTAAGTTCTCTTTTTCCTTGTGGTCCCCAGGGTCCTGGTTGGACACTGGCAGTGATGAAGTTGTGGGAGTTTACCTCAGCCTTAAATAAAGTGACGCTCTATAATATCTCTATTTCTTGAATACAGAAGCCTGGCTCCTACTGCTGATGTCAAAAGGAAAATTACAAAAACAATCCTGCAGATGTCACTGGAACATCACATAGTGACCCCACTCACTGCCATGGTGATTGAGAATGAAGATGGGAATGAGCGCATGCTGGCCGACGCCCCTCCACAAGACCATTCTTGCTGCTCAGGTCAGTGTTTCAGTCTGGTGGGGAAACACTAAGGGTCAGCTTCCATAGGCTTAATGAAGGTCCTCGGACCTCTGCCCCTCTCCCACTCCCAGTCCACCGCTAGCTCCCAGGCCTATGTGTGTATCTCCTCCCTCCTCCCCCTGCTGAGCTCCTCCTGCCAATTTACTTTAAGGATAATTTATTGCCTTGATCTTCAAACATTTTTGCTCACATGTTTTCCAAAGGAATTTTAAAAACTTATGTACCCCTTCATAAGTTTTAAAAATCAACATTAAAATTTATTTCACCTTATTTAAGTACCTGCAATGAATTCAATGCCTGGCATATTGTAAAGGTTGAACTTTTAAAATGAAACTGTGGTATAACTCTTTTAAGTGTAGCCAATGAAATTGAATACCTGGTTTGAGACTTACCATCATCCACAAAAAAATATGTGAACAAATTCTATTCTCATTATTATAAATTTTATAGTGTTCTTTTTTTCTAGTCAAACATATTTCCATTCCACTTCTCTGGCAGAATCATATCCTAATGTATTTTTATGCTTGAAAGTCTTTTGTTGATAATCCTTTTCCTCTGCAAGGGAAATATGTATACGAATTTAAATCTTTTCAATTTCTTGTGACCATAAGATTCTGAGTGTTCAAAGATTTCTTCTGGATTGAATTTTATGAAAATTACTATGAGTAGACAATTTGTCAAAATAATATACTTTAAATTTTTATATACATAGAATGTCCTATTTTCTTGAAAATCACCTTTTAATGTGGCTGACTGTATTTTTCATGTATATATGGTAAATGTTATTCATTAGTAAATTGAAAAGAGACAAGATTCAGCATCAACTCTACTTTAAAAAAAATTTATTGGGGTGACATTGGTCAACATGATCATATAGATTTCAGGTGTGAGTTTCTATGTTACAAGATCTGTATATTGCATGTGTGTACCTCTACTTTTTTTAACAAGTGTTTTATGGGTGTAAGTCCTAATAAACATTAGAGATTTTGATAAGTAGATAGGAATAGAAAGCACTTGGCTATGGCAATGTCATTCATTTACCTGAACTTCTTTGAAATTACATGACAAAACTCACATATGGATCTATATTGAAATATTATTTTTTAACTTATTTTTATTTTTCACAGTATTACAGCTGTCCCCCATTTTGTCCCCCTCCCCACAGCCCCTATCCCACCTCAGGCCTTCACTATTCATTACCTGTGTCCATGGGCTATACATATAAATTCTTTGGTTAATCTTTTCACATCTGTTCCATGCATCTATGCCTCTGGACCCATTTTGTTTATCAATTTATTTTGTTCATTAAATTCCACATATAAGTAAGATCATGTGATATTTGTGTTTCTCTGGCTTATTTCACTTAGCATAATAATCTTTAGGTCTATCCATGCTGTTGAAATGATCAGAGATCCTTCTTTTTTACAGCCTAATAGTATTCCATTATGTAAATATACCACAGCTTTTATTTTTAATGATATATCAGATGACAGCTTGGGCCCTACTCCAATTCTGTTGAAAGTAAGAATTGAAACTATCTGACTTTCGAATGAATTTGTTTCCAGGTCATTGGAGTAATTGTTTTTTTGGCACTACACCAATTTTCAACTGGATGCTTTGGTTTCCGGGAGGCTTTTGGTGAGGGAAAGCAGGAGAGAGTATGCCTTCTGCTTATAAACTAGGAGAAAAGGGTGTTCTTAGGAAAAAGTGTATGTGAAAGCTGAGAACCTAGAAATTGCCTGAAAATTATCCCTGATCTCTGTGCTCTGGGGAAAGTCCCAAGGCATATCCAAGGGGGCTGTAGCCAAGTTTAAAAGACTTCGGTTTTTCTCCTGCTTCCTTCCTCTCCTTTTTGAGGACTCCTGAAACATAGTCTTGAAAATGGCCTACATACACTAAAGGGGACATTTTCTGAATTTTTAATTTTGTCCAAGTTAGATGCCAACTACACCAGGGTGGCCTAGGATTCAAAGAACTCTGGCTTCTGGGCTCCTGTTACATTAGTCTGGGGCCTCACAGCTAAATTTCTCTAGAGCAGTGGTTCTCAACCTTCCTAATGCCACGACCCTTTAATACAGTTCCTCATGTTGTGGTGACCCCCAATTTCATTGTTACAAATTGAACATAATTAAAGCATAGTGATTAATCACAAAAACAATATGTAATTATATATGTGTTTTCTGATGGTCTTAGGTGACCCCTGTGAAAGGGTCACTTGACCCCCAAAGGGGTCGCGACCCACAGGTTGAGAACCGCTGCTCTAGATAAACTGGCATATCTAGGTAACATTCTATCACCTAAATAAAATGCCTAGGTGAACTGGTATTTGTTTCTCAAAGACAGGAGACTGACTGGATATCAGAAAGCAAAAGGAAGTTTTGTAACCAGTAGGATAACCTCTTTGGGAAACTACGTTGCTCAGATTGTTTTTTGGTAGGTGAATAGGAATGTATCAGGATGATGTTGACCATAATCCGGGACTTCTCCAGCGACTGGACTGGACATTATCCTTGCAGCCTGTGCTGAAGACATGAGGTCCTTCCACAGCTCCATGGGCAGTTCCTCTGTTGCAACCCCAGCCCAGGTTCCAGACTCTGGGGAAAAACCCCACAGTAGGCCCACAGCATAATGACAGAGGAAGCCCTACGAGAGAGAACTCAGGAATAAAAAGGATGGGAGGAGACTTAACTGAGAAAGACCTTAGCTGAGAACCTCTGGGGTCTGAATGAATAATTGTTGAAATTGTAAGAGACTTACATGGAAAAGTAAGCTTGGAAACTAATGGATACAGGTTTTTCTACCCAGGTGCCCTGTATTATGGCAGCAAAGTTGCTCCAAGTCCACTCCCATCTTGGGTCCATCCGTCACCAACGCCAAGGAGCCCAATGCTTGTGAAAGGACCTTCTGTACTTGAGAGCACTCCTCCTCCACATGTGATGAGAGGTGAGAGAACTTCAACATGGCTTTCACATCCTTGGTCTCAATCAGATCATAATCTGTGGGGCACATCTATCTATCTATATATATAAAAGGCTAATATGTTAAGTGTCCAACCATTCTGCCATTCCACTGTTCAACCAGTAGCTATGACATGCACTGACCACCAGGGGACAGATGCTCAATGCACAGGCATGGAAACATGGAACAGACTGATGAATCTCAGAGGGAAGAGAGGAGGGGGAAGGACGGGAAGAGATTAACCAAAAATCTTACATGCACACTAGAGGCTCAGTGCACGAATTTGTGCATCGGGGGGGTCCCTCAGCCTGGCCTGCAGGAATTGGGCTGAAACCTGCAGTCCAACATCACCCAAGGGGTCCCAGATTGTGAGAGGGTGCAGGCCAGGCTGAGGGACCCACTGATGCATGAATCTGTGCACCAGGCCACTAGTATATTATAAAAGCCTAAGAAACTGTTACAACTGGACAACCAGATGACCGCCCAGTAGCTATGATGCACACTGACCACCAGGGGCAGACACTCAATGAAGGAGCTTCCTCCTGGTGGTCGGTGAGTTACCATAGCCAACCTCCCACAGTCCCTCCCCCTGAACCCCCAAGCCAGCCAGCCCCAATCAGGACTAGGCAAGATGGCCCCAGTCGGCCCCGATGTTTCATTCCTGTTGCCTAGAAGCCTAGAATTGTGACAACTCCATGTGACAGCACTGAAACATTTGCTTAAGAGGTTTGATTGGTGGGCTCTGGGTTAATTAAAATGACAAAAACAATCATTATCTTTAACAAAAACAGTTTCCTTCAAACAAAATGTTTCAAAACTCCATATTTGTATAGAAGAAGGGAGAAGAAAGCATAACTATGTGATTTTTATTTTTTATTTTTAAGGCATTAAGAACCTTTTGTTCTGTTTTTAAATGATGCCCTCTAGTGCCCAGCTCTGACACAAAGTCAATTAAGCCAAGTACTTACTGAACACATAGCATGAGCTTGGTGGTGTCAGGGACACAAAGAAAAACAAGGTTTTGTTTCTGCTCGGATAAGATTATTCTCAATTCTGAGTTTCAAAACACACACTTGAAAATGAAGGAGCATATCAGAGTGGTTGGGAGAATAGGCTTGTAGTCAGACAGCTTGGCTGTGAGTCATAGCTCTGACACTTACTAACTCCATGGCGTGCCCTTGGGCAGGTCACCTGTCCTCTGCAAGGAGAAGGAGTTGAATTAATGTTTGTAAGGAGCTTTGCAATGGTATCTGGAAAACAGCAGCCTGTAAATGGATGGCAGCCAAGTCTTCCAATTTTACCCTGGAAAATACAGCCACTGCAGTGTTCAACTCAAACCTTCTTCTTCAATCCCTTTAATTACCGAGGCTAGAAGTCTGGCAGAGCTAAATTGTTCTTCCCACTGGTTACCAGATATGGTGGATTTTACCAGGTGTCTCCAGAATTTTTGCTCCTTTGCCAATCCCATTCACCATCCTAGTTTCTTGATTTTGACATTTCTTGCCTGGGTTACTGCCATTTTAGCCGCTAAATGATCTTTCTATGTCAACTTAATTTATACTGTAACCACATTTTTCCTAAAGTGAGAGTCAAATCATTTATTCTCAAAAACATTTAATAGTTATCCAACAGAATAAAGGTCCGTTCTTTTGCACGGTGTTCTCTGGTCTCCATCACCCACATTTTTGTCTAATTTTTTTCTATATTCGTCAACAACCCATCCTTAATAAGTCACATTGAGTCACTTTCTAAACAAATCATCAACTTTTCTACCTTCCTGCCATTCTTCATTCTGTCCACTCAATAAAATACCTGTCTTTCCTGTGTCTTAATCTTCCCCTCTTCTCCTCCTATCTTTAAGACTTAGTTCAAAAACCAAGTTCTTCATAAGGCCTTTCTCAGCTTTGTCAGGTTGAGTCAATCATGCTTGCGTCTTCATTCTCAGAGCATTGTGCTTGGGCCATTATTGTATCATTTACCTATCTAGCTTACATTCATGGTTCTATCTGCTTCCTTAGAAGAAAAAAAATAATGTTTTAACTGTTAAAGAACAAAATTAATTCACGACATTTGCTAAGCATGGTGAGGAAGATTTTATGCAATGGGGTTTGGCGGTGGGGGAAAGAGATTTCACTCAACTGCAAATACATCATGGGAAAGTGGGACTTTATAGACAAGGAGTAGGGTGGGGGTCAGTGGATGAAAGATTTCTAAGAGGAAACAAGCATGGGAAGGGGACTTAGGCTAACACCCCCAACAGGATTCTTGCTGAAGGCAGGCTGGTGTGATCAGACATCTCTTGAGGGGCAGGGGAGATCGCGAGGGAGATCAGATATGGAGGATGGGGTTTCTGGTTAAACTGACTTGGCAGGATCCTTGCTAAAATAAACAATGCAGAGATCAACATGGGAGTCCAAAAATTAAGGCCTAGTTGACAAGTTCAGGGGAGCCTGAGTAGAGTTTGGTCAAGGAGAGAATCTTTGTCACTCCTTCATTACATCCTTACTTTCCTGAAGCCCATGACTTAGCTATGGCTGCAGCAAACATGGCCAGATTTAGTGTTTTGCACATAGTACCCCACCCCCACTAAATATTTGTTGAATGAGCAAACAAATAAGATCAGCCAAAATAATGATGTCTAGTAACAAAGGAGTACTTTCTTGGGAGCAGCTTGATCCTTCAATGCTCTGGATTAACACTCATCTGTATGCCAACAAATAACATTGTCTTCTTTATTTTTATGTCCTGTGTATGCCTGATTAATAAAATACATATCTTATTATCTATCTATATACTCACTATATATATATTTACACATATGTAGTATACATGTGTGTAAATATATATATATGCACACACATATATATAGTATGTATGTGTATGTTTTATTCATTTTATCTCTAGCCTAACACATATGTGATAGTTACAGGATAAGTATCCACTATATTCTTAACATAACTTAAACTTCCGATGGAGACTGTATGAGAAAAGGACAGTGGGTATGGACCACTGGGCCCCCAGTGTGCAGAACAGTACCTGGCATATAGTAGAAGCACAATATGTATTTGTTCTTGTTAAAGATGTTTAGGAATAAAATACTTTTCAAAACTCTCTTCCCTTCTATGATTTTTAAAAATATTTTCTTTGTGTATTTTCCAGTTGAAAATGACCCACACTTCATCATTTACCTACCAAAAAGCCAAAAGAATATTTGCTTCAACATTGACTCAGAACCTGGAAAAATCCTCAACCTTGTTTCTGATCCAGAATCAGGTAAAAAAAAAAAAAAAAAGGTATTATGTTTAAATTAGAGAATTTGATCTTTGCCACCCTACACTATCACTGCTTGGAATTTCTTTCTCACCTTAATATAAGTCCTATATTTTCCAAACTTGGATAATTAGTGAGAAATAAAGTATAAATATATTCCTAAGTGTTTCAAATATTACCGATAAAATACACTCCCTCAGTATGAACTAATGCTTTGTAATATAATTAAACTATAATAAAGCTAGTTACACAGTGAGAGCTACAAAGAAGAAAGTGTTATGTAAACCCTAAATCAAAGTAACAATAATTTACCATATTGTCAAGTTATATAAATTTGTATTATGGTACCCACATATGAAAAAAAATGGCACACAAGAGAAAGAAAAAAAGCTTTTTTTTTTTTTTTTCTGTAGGGATTTTGGTCAATGGACAACTCATTGGTGCTAAGAAGCCCAAGAATAAAAAACTAAGCACCTATTTTGGAAAACTGGGATTTTATTTTCAACATGAAGATGTGAAAATAGAAGTTAGCACTGAGACCATCACCTTGATCCAGGGCACCCATACGTCGTTCTTATCCTGGTCTGACACAGCTCAGGTCATTAATCAGAGGCAAGTATTCTTATGTGTGGATTCGGGCCTGTCCTTGACACATTACATAAATAAATCCCAACACCCACGACATAAACATAGACCTTAAAATCATCATTTTAAATATGAAGAAGTTGGTGTTCAGAAATATTTTTGTTGCCC